AAACCTAAATAAATCTTATTTGGATGGGGGGGGGGGGGGCTATTATGACTACAATCGCACAAAATCGGACTCTCTAGACCGCAACTTTTGTCAAGAAAATACAAGTGACTTGGAAAACAACTGCTATTTCGGGCTAAAAAATGTCATTCAGTTCTTCAGATGACTTTTTCCTCTTCTTATGCTCTCTTTTTTTTCTTCGCCACCTGATTTTGGATGTCTTTTTGCCCCGTTACCTCGCGGACCACCTTGGCAGGGAGGGTGGCCTCGCACACGGCGCCCTTGCCGCGCCCCAGGATCCAGTTGATGGCGGCCGACTTCTTGTCGGTGCAAAAGTTGCCGCTGACGGAGAGAACCTCCACGTCGGCATGCTGCTGCCGCAGTCGCTGCAGGGCCTTCTCGCAGCCCTGCAAACAGACGTCATTACCTCCAGCAAAGAAAGGCATTTTTGCTCAACTCATTTTCATCTTTCGGCCAAAAGAGGCGCACTGTCATAAATACGTCTGGCAATCGAATATTACACGTACGCCATTAAACAAAAAGCCAAAACCCCCCCGCATGTTCTGCGAATTGCCATTCCCAGTTAGTGTTGAGCTTCAAACTCCACGTAAAGCAAAGAGAACGGCACTTTGTACGTTCACGGACGTGGGAAGGTACCTTTGAGAGCATGTTCATGCCCATGGCGTCTCCGGTGGGCGCCTCAAAGCGGATGTAGAGGTTCCTCCCCGCTAAGCCGACCAGCATTTTCTCCAGCCGGGCAAACCTGCTCAGGCCAAAAAGGTGCCGTCAGCCCGGCGACGGCCTTGACGACGCAGCGATCGGGGAGTCGGGCGCGGCGCCCGTCATCGCACCTGCTGGTCTGGTCGAAGGCGTCTTTGATGACGCTCAAGCCCTCGCCGCTCTCCAGCCACGCTTTGACCTCGGCGGCGCGGCAGGCCGAAGGCAGCCGCACCGCGGGACCCCGAGTCATGCGGTCGGCGAGCACCCTGCTGCGACAGCCCCCGCTCAGCTGCGACAACCCATCACAACATCAGACTTACAATATCAATTCAATATTGGAAGTTGACTTGCACTTTTTTTTTTTTTTAATCTAGTGGGGGTGGAGGGAATCCTTGATAGATGGATTTTTTTTCTCTCTTTTTTTTTTTGCTTCATCATATTTGCGCATTTCTACTAATTTGGACTCTACGATTTCTTCATTGCAAACTTTTTTGGCGCGCTGGTCAACTTTTTCTCGCCGTGCCTTTTCTTTCTTTAGTTTGGAAAAGGTTGACGCGCGCTACGCGTCGGCACTTACAGAAAGAGCCCGGCAGCCCCGGTTCGTGCTCGCCACCAGGCAGCCCTCGGTGGTCGCCATGGGAACATAAAACTGCTTGTCGTCCAAGGGCAGCGGGCCGGCCACGCCCACCGGCACCGGCATATAGCCGATGACGTTCTCGCAGCACGTGCCCGTCACCTGTCAAACGGGAATGCGCGAAGACCTTCGCATCACCTCGATTCCGTTCCAAACGAACACACGCGAAGGTTCACGTCGCCTTCACCTTGGCATAGTCGTAGTTTTTGTACGGAAGCGACGACAAGGCGGCGGGAAGGGGGAGCCTGGAAGACAATATCTCCCTCCTGATGGCCACGCCCCTCTCGGGGGTCTCCAGCACGGCGTCCAGCTTATAGCTGAGGATGTGACGCGACGCCACGAGGTTGATCACCTCGCCGTCGCTGAGGCAGCGGGGCCCTCGCTGGAAAGACGGCGAGCGGTCGCGGTCTGACGCCACGGCCGTGAATTAAACGTCGCGAGAGTCGGGCGGGAGCTCACCTGCGGATCGGCGAGGATGTCCAGACATTCCTGGAGCGCGCGTGGACAAGCTTCAGCTTTGGGCTCATCGGGCGTGCTGGCCTCCTCCGCTGTGGACCACGTCAACAAAATGTGCCTTCAAAACACCGATTCTTGGCAATATAAGACTTTGTTCGACCACTTTTCTCTCGAGAACCCTCAGAAAAAAATACTTCTTGTGGAACAATTTTGGGGTGTGAAGAAAAGAAAAAATACCTGCGAACTAACACATTTTTGACATCTTAAAAAAAAAAAAAAAAAAAAAAATGACTAGGTGAAAACAAATGGAAAAAAGGAAAATGTTTTTGTGAAAAATCTTGCTTGGAGCCTGGGGAAAAATGTTACTTTGAGTAGTAAAAGAACCACTTTTTTTCCATTAAAAAAATAAAATGTATACAATTTCTGTTCCAGAAACAATTTTTGAAGCAACTTTGGTGAAATGTGAAGATTTCAGTCACTGCTGATGTGTCACGAATAGAAGCAATTATTGACCTTCCTCCTCGCACAAACGTCTGGACCCCGCCGCCGCCGCCGCGCCGTTGGCAAAGTCCATCCCGCAGCAGCCACGGGCCAGGGGCGCCAGCCGGCGGGCGGGGGGCGAGCCGCCCGAGGCGTTCTTGATGGACAGCGATGACTCGGTCTCGCTCTGCTCGAACAAGACGTACTTGACGGCAAGCAGCAGGGCCAGGCCCAGCGTGATCACCTGCTCCATGTCCACCCTGAGGAACGCCAGCGGCGGGATTAGGACGCACGCGCAACGCCACCAGAGAGAAAGAAATGTCTTCTTTTTGCGTCTCGAGAACACAAGAGCAGCAAAAGGGCGAATTTTCCTCTGAATAACCGACGATACGTTTCAAACAGAAAATGCGGAGAGCGCCTACGAGGGGAGAGCCCTAATATGGTTCACGGGTCCCCTGGCGGCTTGTGGTTGAACGGATCGGGATTCGTCAGCGCGTGACCGATTAAATAGTCAAACCAAATTCAGGCCGACGGGCTGTTTGGCCATTTGGACGCCAGCCTAAAATGGAGGAAAAATACACATTTTGACTTGTTTTTTTTTTTTTCTTGCAACAAATTAACACCTTTTATATGTGTCGTTGCCAATTGAAAATGCAAA